GTATTGAGTTAACTCCCTTCTTCTACTATGATTAAGCGCTATCAAATCTATAGGAAGTGTATGTTTGGAATACCCAACTATGTCAAATTCAAGACATGGAGATAAAAAAAAAATATAAAAAAAAATAAATAAAAAAAAAACACCGGTTCACGAGGTCTCAATAAAGAGTAGTTTTAGTCAGTTTTCGTACGACAATGACCTATTACAGAAAATTGAGAATAATTTAACAATGAAGAAGCCTTTTACATGTCATCCATGATTTGGTTTAATCTGGTTACATGTACATCATACAGTGTAGCCTTAAAAATCTATATCCAGCCTGTGTCCTGTGATATTTCCAAAATTTTCTTGGAGAATACATTGTATAGCCTTACCATGATTCAAGTCCTACTTGGTCAACAGGATACAAAATTGTGTCTGCAAATGGAAAACATTCCAGCCCAGTTGATCTATGCTGTGGTGTTCCACAGGAGTCTGTTTTTGGACCTGTTCTCTTCATTCTATACACTCAGCTGATCTCAAGTATCATAAATCATCATCCAATTGTCTGCTGGTGACACCCAAATATACAAATCTAGCCACCCAACTGAATTTGAAGCTACCATCCAAGACATAGAGAGGTGCATTTCTGATGTGAAATCATGGATGCCATGTAACAAGCTGCAGATGAATGATGATAAAACTGAAGCCATCCTGATTGCAACACAAAATCTTTCTCATTCACATCCTTTACCTCAAACAATAAATATCAGCAACACCAACATTAATTCCAGCAGTCAGTACGAAACCTTGGTGTCACTCTTGACAGTACTCTCTCATTGCATCACATGTGCCGGGCTACATATGTTGAGCTGAGACGCATCAGCTCCATTCGCAAGGATCTGTCAGTTGATGCCACTAAAACACTTGTGTGTTCCTTAGTACTTTCAAGACTGTACTATTGTAATTCAATTCTGTCTGGTTCATCTCAATATCTACTTCAGAAACATCAAAAAGTTCAAAACACTGCTGCTCGGATCATCCTTAGAGTACCACGATCAGAGCACGCCTCTTCCAATGCTCTGTACCCTACACTGGCTATCCATATAATCCAGAATTAAACACAAAATTTGTTCTCTGTGCTATGTTTCACTGACGGGCTCCAGTCTAACATGCCTATCTGACCTCATCCATGTCTATACTCCTGCAACGCTCCTCTTCTGATACTCGCATTCTCAATATTCAAGCTGAAATCATATGGACAACGTTCTTTTGCATACCAGGGCCTATCAACATGGAACGAATTGCCTACTGCACTTAGATACAAAGACACAGTGATCTCATTCAAGAGCGCCCTTAAAACCCATCTTTTTCAACTGCAAGAACAGTTATAATGACCTAATAATGTATCCCTTGACCGTATCCTTACCTTAAAATTTTACATCATGTTTTTTCTGTTTCTGATTTTTGTGATGTTTAAAAAGCATAAATAATGAAATGATTACAAAAATAAAAACATTCTTTTTAAGCGTTGACAAATGTTTTAAAGCGCTTAGAGCTTCTAAACATTAGGCGTTATATAAAATCCTCGTTGTTGTTATTATTATTATTATTATTATTATTATTATTATTATTATTATTATTATTATTATTATTATTATTATTATTATTATTATTAAAACAAACTAATGGCTTTTGTATAATGCATGCATGTAAGATTTTGACTGCAGCAATCAAGTTAATTGTTTATACATAAGTTGACTTTTATACTGAACCAACACTGCGACCAACTCCTCTCTTTTATATTCATTTTTGACAGGGAAAAAAAACCTATTTTGAATATTTTTCTGTGGCAAGGCGGCGAAAAGAATCAGTATGTGCCTTATGCATGAATACAGTTCACTAATACTATAACAAATTGGCATACTTTTCATCACCTCTCCACCATCTCGATTTTGAGATATTTAACTCTGTAGCACACATACGTAAATACATAAACCAAATCGACTATTCATTTGCAGCTCAAGTTACACATTTGATCCCCAATGCTAGGATAACTGTGACAGTCGCCAAACAAGACGACCCATTTTCAAGACTAACTCAAAGTAAATCTAAACCACATTACAGATTTAGGTTTTGTGTGAATTTATAAATGATAGGCTTATGATAATTAGGTTCATGTCTTACACCTTTAAAAGTAGGGAGGTGTCAAAATACAAAACTATTCAGTGTGACACAAGAATTTTTATGAGAGTTAGGTTAGGGGAAATGCTTCTCAGTTTCAAAACTTGGGCAATTCTGAATAAAACGCAACCTCAACATGTGTAATATTCAAAATCATCTTTGGAGCCACACCATTTGGGAAACCATACTATCAGATTCGTCCCATCTGTTGATAATGTATTTTAAGAACACTAAGAAGGTCCCCTTTGCATCGTTTTCACAGCGACCAGCACATATTGTTGCTAAAGCTGTTGTTAGAGAAGTTTATTTTGCTATTGATTGTAACCTGAATCAAATCTAAATTAAACAGAAAATCATACAAAGTAAAAAAAAAAGGAGAAGAAAAAAAAACATAATGAAAAAGGGATGTCCATTTTTCACATAACTCACCAAAAACTCTAAAGAAGCTGATGCAGATACATCTGCTCCTGTAAAAGCTACACAACAATTTATGCGGCTGACTCCCAAGGAAATCTTTGACGTTTTCCTGGATAGCAATATACTTCGGCAGGCTAGCTCCCATACACTTTGAGGTGTACAATAAAATAAAATCTGAACTTCTTTTATATAGGTCATTATAACTTAAATTTATGTAAATAAGATGACATATATGTATTGAAACATTACATCATGAGTAGTTATGTATATAAAATCAATAAATTAGAAAATTATGCAATGCATTTATTGAAAGCATTGTTAAACTGAATAAGTATGTGAAAGTCCTCAATTAAACCAGCTTCCACGAACCTTATATAGCTTTTGTTGATCATTAGAAGAATGGATATTAAGCAATACCTGGTAAATCTAATATTGTTGAGTCAACTGCCTCCTTCAACTTAGGTGCTATCAAATCTAAAGGAATTGTATGTTTGGCATACCCATGTTATATTCAAGACATGGAGGTAAAAGGCAATTGGTTTATGGCACAGTCAATCAAATTTGACAATACTGAAAAAATACCACCGATTCTTAAGGTCTCTTTGCACAGTTAATCTGGTGAATATTCGTCCGACAATGTCGTATTGCAGAAAAAGAGAATGATTTAATACTGAAGATATAAATAAAAACAAACTAATGATTTTTGTAGAAAGCATCCATGTACGATTTTGACTGCAGCAGTCAGGTTAATCCCTTATACAACTGGTGGTTTTTACACTAAACCAACACTGCCACCAACTCCTCTCTTTCACATCCATTTTTTTGGCAGAAAAGAGCTATTTTGAATATTTTCCTGTGGCAAGGCGGCTAAAAGAATCATGAGCCTTATGCATGAATACAGTTAACTAGTACTATAACAAATTGGCATATTTTTCATCACCCCTCAACTGTCTTGAATTTTAGATATTAAACTCTGTGGCACACATACGTAAATACATAAACCAAGTCGGCTATTCATTTGCAGCCCAAGTTACGCATTTGATCTTCAATGCTAGTCTAACTGTGACAGACAGTCACCATCAAGGCAACCCAATTTCAAGACTAACTCAAAGTAAATCTAAACCACATCACATATTTAGTTTATATGTGAATTAATGGATGATAGGTTTATGGTAATTAGTTTCATGCCTTCTACCTTAAAAAAATAAGGAAGTGTCAATATACGAAACTATCTAGTGAGTCCTCAGGCATATCAGACGAGGTACACATAAGAACTGCGTACTTCCGTCTTTAAGACATTTTGAGTTCACATAGCTACACAGCTTTGCACAATGAATCGTCTTCAATGTGCCATCTTTTCATTATGCCTTTTTGGTCTTACGTCAGGCAAGTCCCTATTAAGTCATTTAAATACGACTTTTGCATGGACTTATTTAAAATGTAGTAGTAAGCTGCGTTGACATAATGATGGTTTACATCAGTAATGAGGGCAATGCGATAGATACAATGTTTAGGGTATATAATAAATGATGTCCTTGGTAATAAAAAAGTAAACAAGAAAGGACAAATTAGACTTTATAAGACACTGAAAATATAAAGCTATAAAAGTGTGGATATTTCGCAGAGAGAGAGAGAGGGGGGAGGGGCCGACATGGAAAAGTTGTACTTCTGATCTCTGATGTCACGTATATCTATGTTGCCAGATTTGTGCAGTCATGTTACTAGGAATGAAATGACGAGATTTTGGTCAAATTTCATCAACTCTGTAGTTGTCTCGTCTGCCAGCGGAATAAAGATGTAAATTTCGGAGAAAATAAATCATATTCCTATCATTCCTATAGATTTCATGCAGGAATATGGAGTATGGCGGTAGTCTCAGGTGTTGAATATAGTATGTACAGGGAGACTGAGTGAAATTATGAAGTCATGAAATTGCTAAATAACCTATACAATTAGAATGGTGCAAATGAAACAGCGGTCCAAATGGGGTCCAAGAAAGGGATTCGTGACTTCTAACTCCAAAATAAATAGGGGATGTTGAAGGAAAAACGGAGATCTGAATTTACTCTTCATCGTCAAATGTATCATTTTATTGACTTTATAATATTTTTCAAATCTTGTCAGTAATGACATTTTCAAACTAAAGATAATATATTGCATAAAATGACTTTCAAAAAAGCTAGTCCCGATAATGGTGAAACACTGCAGTGCTTAAAGCATTCTTTTTATCGCCATGAATAATGGTTTTAAAAGCAGCACGTTGGCATGAGCGTTGCAAAAATATGAAAGATTGTTTATTTATTTATTTATTTACTTGCGTGTACACTTGTCACTAAATAGTTTGTTATGAGCAATAACCCAGGACTTGTTTACAACATACTATTATAACCTTGCAGGGTATTGTACATGGGATAATGATCGCTCCGGTGGCTTAGTGGTTAGCGCATCCGCATCGGATGCGGGTGGTCGCGGGTTCGAACCCCCGCCGAGATATACCACAGACTTCTAAAAATGCTACTAACAACTGCCTCGCTAGGCGCTCAGCATTAAGATGTTAGTGTTAGGACTTGTCAGCCTAGTGTCAGAACGTCACTAGGTGGGATATCATCTGTGGCACGATGTCCCAGTGCTAAACATCACTACAAACTGTCACACTTCAGTCATCGTAGCGAAATGACTAAAAAATTATTATTGGGGTAAACTTATCACTTCTAGCGGTAATCGCACCAGGGTTTTCACACTGCTCGCTCAAGCTTAGAGCATTGGCTTATAATAAGAAGTATCCATGATACATTAAATTATGAGTTTTGTATTTGCACTAGTTTCAACTGCTAATTCTTGCAACACCCAGTTTATAGAACTCGATCATTTGGAATTGTCTAAAACAAATTCATATATATATATATATATATATATATATATATATCTATATATTTATATATATATATCTATATATATATATATATATATATATATATATATATACGGCGTCAGATTTTGCGGTACATTGTTTTTGTGCATCATACATTGTGTGTCTGTGCTTGTAAAGAGAAGTGGTCCCGAATAACTTAGTGGTCAAAAAGCTCACATGTGTTTGATTATTTGGCTAATGTAGATATAGGAGCAAACAAGCTTGCCAGTAGCTTACCCTGAGAAGGTGGTTCTTATTAGGGTTATTTCCAGGTCAGGTCGGTTCTGCTGCATCTCTTTGTCATCAGGAAACGTACTTAGTAACATTTAGTTTTCGTGATATAGTAATAATTGTGTTCTAAGTGCCGTTGAAATCACCAGAAACTAAACTTGTTTTTAAAACTTCAAGAACCTTTGAACAGTGTAATATCCAATATCCATTTACCTTTGAAAATTACTCATTTAGAGTCGAAAGCGTTCAGGTTAGTTAGAAACTAGTTTGGCTCTGTTCGTTGTCAGTTTGTTGCATTTATCATAATCAATTCCTGACACGCGTGATCCCTTGCTGAGATCCAAGACGCTTGAAAGGACTGTTATTTGCACGAGTTGTTCTCTCTCTCTCTCTCTCTCTCTCTCTCTCTCTCTCTCTCTCTCTCTCTCTCTCTCTCTCTCTCTCTCTCTCTCTCTATATATATATATATATATATATATATATATATATATATATATATATATATATATATATATATATATATATGTAAAAATATATATATATATATAGATATATATATATATATATATATATATATATATATATATATATATATATATATATAGATATATATATAGATGCAATAAACTGACGACGAACAGTACGAAACTAGTAACTAACTAGCCTAAGCGCTTTCGACTCTTAATGAGTCTTTTTCAAAGGCAAATACAAAACATAGTTACGACAAACAAATAAACACAAAAACGTTGTGTTTGTAAACCTCTACATTTCTGTTTTCACATGTGCTAACACTATAAATACAACCAGCTTGTATAGACTAGTTGCGGAAACTGAAAACGTTGTGTAATTCCCTAAAAGTCTACAAGCCAAAGCGACATCTACTTTTACTTTGTGTACATATGTAACGCAGATTATATCCCGGATATTTGATTCTATACCGGTTATTCTTATAGTAAAAAGTGAAGGATAAGAAGAAGATTTAGAAAATGTTAAATTCTACTAGTGCATAGTTTTCATTTTCTAGTCTTCTTGGTTTAGACCGCTTGGTTTCAATGTTCTAAGGCGGCGTATCCAGTATGATTCCTTTTCCTTCCTGGTTTCGGAACTCCAGCTGTGGTTGTTAGCAATAGCGATAAGTATTATATCACTGAAAGTGTGGCCAGGGGAGGAGAAGTGTTCTGCGACCGGGCTTCTGTACAGCTTTTTTGTCATCCAATCAGATCTATGAAGGTTTATCCTTATGTGTAGCTTTTCAGTTTCTCCCACGTACTGAAGGCCACAGATCTTACATGTGATGAGATAAATCACATTCTCTGTTTTGCACGTTTTGTTTGGACCATGTATGTTTAGTTTTTCTTTAGTCACTGTGCTAGTGAATGTCTTGGTCTCTATCATATGTTGACAGGTTTTGCATCTTTTATCGCCACAGGGTCCAGATTGACTAGGTTGGTTTTGACTAGCGATTGTTGTTAGCTTGGCCCTGACTAGGATGTCCTTTAGGTTTTTTGGTAAATGAAAACTATGCACTAGTAGAATTTAACATTTTCTAAATCTTAATATCCTTCAATTTTTACTATAAAAATAACCGGTATAGAATCAAATATCCGGGATATAATCTGCGTTACATATGTACACAAAGTAAAAATAGATGTCGCTTTGGCTTGTAGACTTTTAGGGAATTACACAACGTTTTCAGTTTCCGCAACTAGTCTATACAAGCTGGTTGTATTTATAGTGTTAGCACATGTGAAGACAGAAATGTAGAGGTTTACAAACACAAAGTTTTTGTGTTTATTTGTTTGTCGTAACTATGTTTTGTATTTGCCTTTGAAAAAGACTCATTAAGAGTCGAAAGCGCTTAGGCTAGTTAGTTACTAGTTTCGTACTGTTCGTCGTCAGTTTATTGCATCTATTTTAATTAATCCCTGACAAACGTGATCCCTTGGTGGATCCAGTACGCTTGAGAGGGTTGTTATTCGCCATATGATTTGTATTCTTTATATATATATATATATATATATATATATATATATATATATATATATATATATATATATATATATATATATATATATATATATATATATATATATATATATATATATATATATATATTGTTTGTGTCACCTTGATTAGAAAAGACAGAATGAGTAGTAAAAACAGGACCGCTGTGATCAATATATGTTGATTAATGCCAGAAGCAAATGTGGCCTCATCAAATGAATGAATAATAATTGTGTCATCTAAAGGAATAATCTTCTGATCAACATTACTCCCAGGAGCTTTCAATTCCATCGCGCTGGTAACTAAACAAACAGGATATAGATAAGGGATTTCATTCTCTAACAGAGTCCACATTTTTATCCAAACAAATCTTGTCAGTTGCATGTGGATTAACTAAAACCTTATCTCCAGTTAGGTTATTGCCCAGTATTATATGAATATCCTCTATGGGTAAAGAAGTTCCAACTCCGATAGTCATGGGTCCTGAGACGGAGTCTGATGTCAAGTTTACACAAGGGAGAGTAACATTTACAAAGCCCATCTTTACTTCTTGAATAATCATACTTGCACTACAAAAAGACTTCTCAGACAAAGCCCAAATACCTGATAATAGAAGTTCCAGAGAAGCTCCAGTGTCCCTTAATATTTTAATTGGGATAGAATTGGAAGAATCTCTAATAAGTTATATAGAACCTTACGATGCATCAATAGTTCATAATTTAATACAAAATCGTGACTTTGACCTCTTTGAAAGCGCATTTGGAATAATTCTCTCGTTATTCCGTTGCTTTATTTCAACATACAGCAATCAGAATAAAGTGCTCGTTCCTTTTACAATATGTGTATCTAGGAAGAGATCAGGATTTATCTTATTAGAAATTTGATTTCTAAAATGTTGTTCCAGATTGAGATTTGGAACTACTTGTATGAGATTAGATGATTTCTGTACCAAAAAGCTTCTTACAGATACTTATCGACAAATGAAATTTTGCGTGTCAAGTAATAGTCATCAGCTGTTTGAGCTTCATTTAGTGAAGTTGCTACCTATAGCTAATCAAGATAGGTATTAATATCACTGCTGTTGCAATTATTGAGCTCGTCCGTCTCTTGTTATTGTAATCAACATTCCTGACTGAACACCACCTATAGTAAATTTTTTCCCAAGCAAATTCGACATGGGTTTGTCCGTTTTTGCGTTAGTTATCTCACCTTTGTCTATTTGCCTCGGATACAAACTCATAGTTCTTCAAGATACATTCCTTATCTACATTATCAACACTTTGTTGAACATTGAACTTGTATAGATATTTTGTACAACTGAATATACTATGTTATTCATTTAAAAACATCTCCAATTAGCGATAGCTAACGCAGGTACAGGTTGATAAAGGGACGCAATGTTATAACAGAAAGATTAATGAGTTACTAGTAAAAGAAGAGCATCTGTAATAAAAAGGTTTAATCGAACTTTTGAAGCAAAAAATATGGAAGATTTTTTTATCCAACAAGAAAGCGGCAACAAGTTGATGTACTGAACAAACTGATTAAGAGCTATTCTAATAACTGTCACAGATAAAAAATTCCCTCAACATTACCTCAGTTGCAGGAAGCAAAGACAAAAATAGGTCTAAAGCATCGATACATTTATCAGGTTAACACGCGATTGATACATAAGAAAAACCCAACTTTAACATAAAACAAAAATTGACCCACCTGATTTTACAGAGGAAGCTTTTAAATTTTAAAATGTCTAATTAGGCTATCCTTTTGGTAAGACTTGAAAGAAGAAAATAATAAAAGAATATTTAACGTGGAGTAATTGTCTCTGCAGGAAATAATATAGTATGCTTTTTACATTTTGCATCGAAAATGACATGTGATCATCTCCTGGCTGAAATGATAATAGATCACAGCTATAAATTGGAAAACAACTTATACTGATATGAAATTTTTACCATCTGTTATTTGTAAATATTTCATGAGTCTTTCTCAGTTGTTACTCTTTCATCCTTTTCTATTTGTTTTCAGTAATATTTTATATAATACTTCTTTGTATATTCCATTTGAAATAGCTATACTCCATTTCTGTTTTTTATTCTTAAATTTCTTTTAAAATTTGTGTATTCATCTTTGGTGACACTTACGCATTTGTTTTATGACTTAGACCAATATAATACTTTATGCAGATGGGACCAATCCTTTTTTCGCACTTTAAATATCAGACAAAATGGCTAAGTGTAGCAAAGAATTTGAAACAAAAGAATTTACAATTCAGGACTACGCTGATTTTGTAGTAGACACAAGAGGAACACAAGGCAACATTCAAGTTCATGATTTTTTAAATCGA